AGGGATGTACGATCGAAGGAGCGGGGCCAGTGAACTTCTGGTCCACCTCACCGTCTCTGAGACGCCCCGAAGCCTAACCAGTCTCACTCGTCTCAGTGTCTCAAGGCAGTGAAGTGCCAGCGTTATGTCAATCAACCGGTTGGCACAGTTACCTCAGTAGCGCTGCTCCAATCGGTCTTGTCACTCAGGCTATCTTCCAAGATAGAAAGGAAAGGGAAAAGTAATTGGATTTGCTGCTAGCAGGGAAATGATGAAATGACATGAAACCACCCCCCCTTACCCACCACACACACATCCACATTCGCACACCTATACACCGCTCTGAGTAAATCTCCCTCTTGCTTGCCTCTTTTTGTTTCTGAAGTCTTGAAATACTTCAGGCTGTTAAGAGTTTCTTTTCATCTCGCCTGATGTGGCGAGAGCGCCTTGTTCTCCCAGGTAGACAAAAGAGGAGACGAAATGAGGGGTATGAAAGGATTTCCAGGTTTTTACTGAGATCTGAGAAGGGTTTTTTAGGGTGTTTCTGGCAAACGGCACAGAAAGGCAGCCCATAGAGAAATTTCATGCTGTTAAAAGCGATCAGTACCCCACCTACACCTTGTCTCCCTACAAAGTGATGCACTGTGGTATTTAAAAGACAAATGTAATGATGTTCGACTCTGAAATACTGAGCAAAGAACAACAATATATAATGCATAGTATGCTGCTGCTGGATGGCAGGCATGAGACTGGTGGGTTTCATGCTGTCTGGTAAGAGTGCAACCCACATCCAACAAACTATTCCCTGCACCCAAAACCCACACTGTATGTCCGATATACTACATCCTACTGTACATCTTTCATCTTACGTCATACACCCTCCGTCTCATGTCTTTCATCTTGCAGCCCCCGGGTCCCGAGTCTTGTATGGTAGTATGTCCTTCAACCTTCAGCACACTCATCTTTTATCTTTTATCTTTCACTTTACATCCAACAGTTAATGGTAATCACGTTAAAAAGATAATTTGATGAAGCCACAGTGGAGATATTCATGCCTTAAGTCAATGCAATGTTTTTGAGATTTGTGGCACCAGTTTGTTACTTTTGTTGCTCCCTTCTCACACCTGACATTGAAATCTGGTAAACACAAAGCGAGCAAGGCAACATCCACTTTTGCTTTCTTATTCACCAAGCAACAGTGTTTGGATAACATAAAGTGAGACTATTGACCATTTAAAAGACACAAATTATAAATTAACACAAATTAAAAATGTAACTAAATTCAATACTTTTGCCTCATTATTTACTGTGTGTGGTATGATCAGTAGCTTATGGTGGCTATTGTTAGCCCATAATAGCAAACTTTAAGATACTGTACATAGTGCCATATAACACACAAGAGTCAGTTGCAATACCATTTTATATCAAGGTCCACTAATAAGCTTTTTCCAGAGCTTTCAACTAAATTTGTACATTGTACATCCATTGTAATACATGCTATGTGCAAAGGGGTTTGCACATAGGGTTGAAAAGGGTAACAACTTTTTTCATTAATCTGATTGGCAGATTCATTTACTGATTAATTTTTAAATTAATTGTTTGGTCTCTGAAGTGTTAGAAAATAGTGAAAATGCCAGTCACAACTTCCTGTATCTAATCTTGAAATTACTTGTTTTGTTTCTGACTAATAGCCGAAAAGTGAAACAATTAACCAATCATCATTATAAAATAGTTTCTGATTCATTTCATATTGAATCATAATCTACATCCACATCCTGAAGTATGTCTTAAATCTTAAATCTCATATCAGCATGCATAAAGCATCGGCATTTCGCCATTGTCTGCGTTTTCTTATCGGCCACTAAATGTAATGGCTTTACCTTATCCTAACAAAGGCCATACTACAGCATTAAATCCCCCAAAAACGAACCCTTATTTTAACACAGGGCCGTTAAAATTAATTACTAATAGAATGCTGATTTAGTGTAACTCAAAATTCTGAATCGACAAGGGCAACTACTGAAACAGTGTTAGTCCTGACATGCACAGTCTCTTTAAAGAGAGAACGACATTAGCCCAACAGCAAATAGAGAGGTTAGGTGGGTATTTTGCACATACATGCTGTGTGCTTAGTCAGTCAAAGCTTTCTGATTAGTCATGCTGATGTAAAGCAGCAGATTCACCCCATCTATCTCTCTGTCTCTCTCTCTGTGTCTCTCTCTCTGTCTCTCTCTCTGTCTCTCTCTCTGTCTCTCTCTCTGTGTCTCTCTCACACACACACACACACACACACACAAAAGACACCATCACTTATCCAATGGACTGTCTAGGTTTAAGATTTACACTAGCGATTATATATTCATAGATCAATCAATACAGGGAGTCTAGCAGCCGAGACGTGTCCACGCAGGCAAACACACATGCGGCAACAGTCGCATTGTAGGAATCCTAATGAGCGTGCGTGTGAGTAGACATCGATGCGCTGCAGCTTTACATTTCATTAGGCCAAGGAGCACAGTTTAACTCCCAATGAATAGCAATAAAACCACACAGCCTGTAACCATCTCTCTCCATCTGCCTCAGCCTCGCTCTCTTTTTCTCCTTTCTAAATCCCAGCTCTGTTCCCTCTTCCTCCCTCCAAATTCTGTTAAGCACAAATCTAGTTCAGTCATTTAACAGTTGTTCTCCAATTTATCGGGAAAGACCTCATTTAAAGCTAAAACTAATCACCTCCTGTGTCAAAGGAAAGACTTACCAGGCACCAACAAATGTAAAAAGCCTCATAAACTGGCTGTGGGAGTAATCACTGCTGATTTATTGCGATTGGTGTCCTGTCTCGCCGTTTACCCGGCTCATACAGACGACTGCCTGTTACTGCAGCATCTGCATTGATCTGTGTGAGGACACCGGCAGCCTCCACCTCCGTATTCACCTTCCTCCCTCCATCCCTGAGCACAGGAAGACATGCCGGCTGAGGGGAAATGGGATTCCGATCAGCGGGATATCATCCAGGATCTGCTGACCCCACACACACACAAATCATCTGTCTGCACACACGCACAGGCACAGAACAGGGGTCAGGCGCAAGGACTAGTGGGCTAGGTTTCAGTCGACTTAGCAAAACACCAGAGACAGGAAGCTGTGTAAGGAGGCGTGTGTGTGTGTGTGTGTGCACATTATCATAGCCTATATAAAAGCAGTTGACAGCAGCATTACTGCAACAGATATTCCAGCAACTGCAGGAACACACAGGCCTAATGCTTAAACTGTCAAACTCGTATCAAAGATTGTAGCGGCTTTTGGTTGGCTTTAATAGAATATGACAGAAAGTACGATGTAAACACAAAGACTTCCAAACAAAGACAAAAATACACAAGCACCTACAAAATGATAGATGACTTGAAAGTATAGTTAAAAAAAAAAAAAACTAAACAAAGAAAAACTCTGGGGAACAGTCTTGAAAACTTCTCAAAGTTAAATGCTGCCGACAGTGAAATGTGGCTGTAACTTCTTTTTTTTATTTATTTTGTATTATGTATGTATTTATGCAATTATTTTTATCCTCAGGTAACTGTTTTATCCGGTCTCCAGAGTATTGGTGACACGGACACACTCACACGGAGACGTCCTGCTGAGGGAAAAAGTGGAAAAAACACAGAAGCTGCTCAGTCGGATCTCAGATGAAGGAGCAGCTGATTGGCACACACACTGTGCGGTCTACTCAACATGGGTACTCGAGAAGCACACACACACACACACACACACACACACACACACACACACACACACACACACACACACACACACACACACACACACACACACACACACACACACACACACACACACACACACACTGTAAACCCACAGGCGCACACTGAAAAGGACTGCATGCTGTGTGTAGCCTATGCTGAACATGATGGGAAATTACTTGCTGGTGATTGAGGAGGGCACACAACAGACACACACTCGCACACACAGAACATGGGGCTTTCTCACCAAAGGTACTCAGGAGACACATAAGAAATCTTCTTCACCCACCTTATAGCCACTCAGAAACACTCCCTAGCTCTTGAAAACACTGTGACTAGGCCGCCAAGCAGCACTCGGCAAGAAAAAACCCACACAGCTCCGGTGTGTCGAACAGCATGAGCTCTACACCCAAAAAGACACACACACACACACACACACACACACACACTATCTCGCTGTCTGAGAACGCTTGCAGCTCCAGAGCTGCGATCTTACTCTTTTTCTTCAAACGTATATGTGTCTTATTTGCTATGTTTTAAAAGCATTCAATGACAATGCCAAAGCAGTGAAAAGCCATTTTGAAATAAAACACAGACACAGACACATGCACACACACACACACACACACACACGTATATATATGAATATACACACATTCACAGCTGAGGTCTGCAAAGAGATTTCTGATGACAAAACCATTTGTCAGCAGTGCCAAAACCAATGACCATTGAAAATACATCATAAAATGACACAAAATTGCTTCAAAGTGAAAATGGTTTTCTGTAGAGCATGGAGACACACACACACACATACACACACACACACTCAGTTTTGTACCCTAGCAGGAGCATTTGAATCCCCATTTTGGTCACGTTTTATTAGTTTTATGTCAGTTATAGCTGTAATTTATGTCTCACGCTGTTCACAATGTAGAAGAAGCAGCCAATGACAAGAGTCAGAAAATACACCAGCTGAGATTACACCCCAGTCACTGTAAGGTGAAAATCTTACACCTGCAAAACAGCATTGTTCTGTATCATTGCATTTTGCCTATTTAAAGAGTGTCTAGTCCTTGATTCTAAGTTAATACATCCAGGACTTTTTCAATGCTTTTACCTCACAACAGTATCTGATTTAAAGAACAAACTAAGCACACGTGTACACACACACACACACACACACACACACACACACACACACACACACACACACACACACACACACACACACACACACACACACACACACACACACACCAGGGTGCCTACCTTCTTCATGTGTCCGCTGCGGGTGCCAGTGAACGCCACAGTGTGTCCGCGGTAGTCGTAGGCTGCCACAGAGGTCATGCCGTCGTCCTTGTCCACGTAAAGCGGGATGCCCTCGATGGCGGTGGTGCCCCCTAGAGGCTGATTGAAGTCCTGGCCACAGAAGTTATCGTCTATCTGCAGCGGCTGGGGTATTGAGGTGGGAGGGGGGTGGGTAGAGGGAGAGGAAGCCATTAACTCAACACATTAACACTTCTTAAATCCCTTTTCTCGTTAAACTAACATTAATTCTTAAAGAAGGAGGAGGCTTTCGATCTCCCCGGCACTTAGTGCACGTTTTATGGTGCTGGAGCGAAGCCAAGCCGCTGCAGATTTAGTGAGAAATGGGGTGAAATTAATGGGCGTCACTGGAAAAATTAGCTTCAGTTTCCTTCCTCCATTTTAAACTTTTTTGATAGACAAGGAGAGACAGTGATATATGTCTTTTATTAAGGACAAGCACAATCGAACTGGCCTCTGCGATTGATGCTTTCGTCCTCCATCACAGCCTTTGATTATTTCATAGTACATGATGTCGAACCAAGCAATTAAGCATCTCAGCATGGTTCGAATGGGTGAACAGTTGTTTGCTAATGTTTTAAATATTGATTTCTTTATATACAGCTTCGGCAGTCTAGTTTCTAATAAGAAACAAGAGACAAGAGCCAATAGAGTGAGTAAATCAAATGGAGCTGGAAATGAACATGGAGGGGAGAGCGAACACATGAGCAGGACACCGGAGGAGATGACAGAGAAATGACGGGAAGTAAATTATAGGTCAGATTAGCATATCATCATCAAAATGTCTCGTAAAGGCACATCGCCACGCTGATATGTTGATGTGTCACGCTTGATTTATGATTCATGTGTATGTAACTGTGTGTGTGTGTGTGTGTGTGACAGCTATGTAGACATCGGGAGGTTCCCCTCGACTCTGACATGTGTAGCAGAGCTATTCGACAGCAACTGCAATTACTGTGGCGACCTCAGAGGAGCACACTGGGAAAATACACAACTTGAGGTCCAAACAACTCTGAAAGGAGCTTGAACAGATGCATCTACTTAAAAACATACACTACATGCATATGAATAATTCAAGTTTCAATCCAAATGAGAAGCAAATTTAAACAGAATAAGCAAGAAAATACAAATTAAGTGCACTTTTTCATTGACTACTGTCGTAAATTTTAGGATTTGGTTAATCAAGAAAAACAGTTTGTGGTGTTAATTCTCCAGTCTGGCGCCTTTGAATCAGATGTGTGGACTCGAGTCACAAATTGTATGACTTTAGACTCAACTTGACTCAATAAAAAAAGACTTGCAACTTGCCTTGAACTTTCGACTTGAAAATATTTTATACCGTCCAAAGAAATAAGAATCTGCCTCAAATCAGTTTTTTCCCCTCATTTCCTAAAACAACTAACGTTAACGCTATTCATTCCCAGCAAGTTTACATTTAAAGGACTAGTGGGTAGGGTTTAGTGACATCTAGTGCTGTAGTTGCAGATCGCAACTCCATCAATTCACCTTCCCCTTGACACTTGGAAGGGGAAAGTAAATTGATGGAGATGCGATCTGCTACTACAGAGGCTGCGACACATTCCAAAAACACCATTATCTAGATCCAGTGTTTGGTCCCTTCTGGCCCACTGTAGAAACATGGTGGTTCAACATGGCGTACTTCATGGAAGGAGACCTGCATTATCTGTAGATTAAAACAGCTCAGGTAAACAACTAAGGTAACGAAAACACAACAATTCTTATTTTCAGGTGATTATACACTAATGAAAACATACCTATGAATATTATATTCCATTTCTGCCAATAGATCCCCCTTAATGTAACACATTTTTAATTCCCCAGATCCACTTTGTTTGAACCAATCTGAGAGCATTCGATCAAGTTGCAGGAGAAAAAAATTGTTTTATTTGTTCTGTTGTTAAAATGGCATTGAAGGGCATATTCTGACTTGTTTAAGACTTGAAACTCATAGTTTAGGACTTCAGACTTGAGTGCAAAGACTTGCTTACTTGTAACTTGGAAAACAATGGCTTGGTGCAGGACTAGATGATGTGATTAAAGGATCGTCAGTCAAGCCTCAAATAAAGAAAATTTCTGTTGGAAACTTGATGGAAATATGGCATTTATGGTTGTTCCATTTATTCATTTGAGGAAAGTTACAGTCTCATGCTCCACACAGATGTGATGTTTGCATCTGCTGCTATTTCTCATCCCTTCCAAGGATGTTTTAGTGACTTGCTGTGTGTACGTCATGATTCATTCGCTAAGTCTGTTGCGTTTTGTCGCATTTTAAGCTCTAGTGATACAGCCACTTTTCCACCACAGCCAAGCGTTAAAGAAAAATTGCGATTGCTTTTTATTGCCATAAAAACAGGTGAATGGAAACACACTTACTATGGGAACTCACATGCAGACATAAAACAAAAATTTAAAAATAAGAAGTAAAAATATATATGAACAAACATGCACAGGAAAGAACAAAGCGCGCACACACACACACACACACACACACACACACGTACAATCAAGCCTCACACACTTCACAAATTAACATACCAGCTTTCACTTGTTCATTACAAGACATATCGTCTCCATAGAGACTAATCAATCACTCCGTCCCACCAAAACGGCAAAGCTGTCAGTGTGTGTGTTTGCGCACATAAGTGTGTGTGTGTGTTGCAGGTTGAGAAAAGCCTGTGGCGGACATCGTCTGCCTTCTACCAGACTTTCAATGGCAGCCAGAAACACAGCAAAGTTGAACTTCGAAGAACAAAGACACAAAGTGAGACAGAGTGAGTGAGGGAGACGCAGACACACAACGCTTTGGATTTTGTGTGATTGACATAAACATGTTTGGAACAATTTGGGAACTGTTTTGCAAGTAATTTGTGAGGAAGAAAGGAGACGAAAGGAGAAAAACAAGAGCAAGTAAACAAAAGGAAGGTAGGGAGTGGAGTGATAAAAGAGGAGATGGAGACAGATATGAAGAGGAGGAAATAAAAATGTAGAAGAAGAAGATGGGCAGCAGTAGAGAGAGAGAGAGAGAGAGAGAGAGAGAGAGAGAGAGAGATGACAATATGACCCTGGCCTTGGGTTTCTGCCTCGTTTCCTCTGATAAAGACAAAGCAGAACCTCCATTCATTTCTGTCACTCATTTCCTCTTTCCTTCTATCCCACTATCTCCTCCTCCTGCTTATCCTCCCTTCCTTCTCTTCACTCTCTTCTCTTTTTCCTTCTCTGTCTCCACATATTTCTCCTCTCCCTTCCTCTTTTTTTTTTTCTTTCGAGGTTCACAGGGACAAACCGGTGGGAAATGGTGTCCATCCCAAAAAGGTTACTCTTTTTTACCCCTGCGTTCCCATGCCTGCAGCTCTTAGAGACTGTCTTTCCTTCCTTCCTCCCTTTCTTCCTCCCTACGAGAGCATTTTCAGAATGAGCATTTATAGGTCACATGATTCTTAAGATAAGCAACTACATGCAGTCTGCAAATAGAACAAAAAGAGAAGACTTTCATGGCATGATGGTCAGAATCAAGCCTTCTATCCTCTTTGTATCCAAAACAAATCTTTTAGAAGAACATGACTGGATATAAAATAGTTTATTATAGTAGCTCATAATAGCATTATTTGGCCTGGATTTATTTATGCCGGGCGCCTCATACTAATCTGCATTCCCAGTGTCTGTCGAGCTCGCACACACAGAAGTGAGATCGCCATCTTCCCAGCGCTGTTGCCGGCATGCTGAGGACGCTAATGGTTTGTTATGTTTAGCCTGACTTGCATCATTACCATAGAGTCAACAGCTCAGATTGAGGCACAGTGGAGCGTTCAGTCGACGTGTTTTCACTGCAGACAAATGTGGCCTCACACAGACCTGACATCTGCTAGCTGTTGTGTGCCTTGTAGACATGTAATTCCTACGGTGTGCGTACTCTATCATTCCTCTACAGCAACTCGTTGAGGAGACGCTTTTTCAGCCACCAATATGGAAGTGACTAGAGAGTTTAATTCAATAGGGAAGGCTTTCATAATTTGATTGTTGATTTTGAAGTCAGGGAGTACAAACAGATCATGCAATCCAAGCATTTTCTCCTGACGTAGGCCTACATGTGATAGTTATTCATTCATGTTACAGTGCATTCCCATCAGACACTCATCACACATGTTGCATGGAATCCTTTAACACTAAGACGCTTTATGCATCTTGAGCGGAGCAGATAGCTATCCAGCCTTAAAAAGGCTTAGTGTATATGCATCCAAGAAGCATTCGAGACAGATTTGAAACCCCCAGGTGCATTCTAGCCAGATGTTGAAAAGGTATAAATGCATCTGTCTCTTAAAGACACACACACACACACACACACACACACACACACACACACACAGCCTGTGATAATAGCCACTGCCCCCTGTGACAATAGCAGAAGAAGAAAAATATTCTGTTTTTACTGAAAAAGACAGCATTCGTACTAAGCAAATGAAAATGAACATTCCACTTATATTACTGTTTACAAGCAGCAGTGCTTACTTTGATTATCGTAACTGTTAATGATGTACTGTACATACAGGGGAATTTCCCTCCTTTTCAAACTGCAGCCACATCGCTGACGTAGTAAAAGTGGAACAGCAAGAGCCACTTGAGCCATGTTGCGTCAAAAGAGGATTTCTTTCAAAGTTCCTGGGTGGACTGGGTGCGAACACAGCCTCCCTGTTTCATTTGTTCAGCCACCCTCTTGAAAAGGTTGGTGTTGCGATATTTGCACATATCCAAAAACCTTTTGATATCCAAGTCTTTCATAATGTTTAAAAGTAGCTGTGTTTCTCCTTGCAACCAGAAACATGGGCTTTCCTTTTGTGTGTTGGTTGGCTAGTTGGTTTGTTAACAACACACATAGCTGACTGTAAACGGGAAAAAGGCAGTGTGCTAAAGCAGCTCCAGTGATTTTAACACATACAGTTATCTGATTCCTGACCAGGTCAACCACTAAATGATCTGCACAAGAATGTCCTTCTGGACTGAAGAGCTTGCCCTGATTTCTAGGAAGTCCAATAAAAGCAAGATGGATTGCAGTAAGCTTTGTTGTCTGGCTGATGGAGATGCATGCATGTTGCTATATGTGTATGAGA